TATTATTATTATTATTATTATTATTATTATTATTATTATTATTATTATCAATAATAATAATAATAATAATAATAATAATAATAATAATAACTTTAAATCACACTTAAAAAGTACTTTGTGCACAAAAACATACATAAAGAAAGTGCACATATCCCACCAAAAATTCTGATTATTGAATCATTTTGACAATAATTTTATTATTGTCAAACAAAAAAAATTCAGGTTTTTATTTGCATCTTTATGTGTAAAGCATATGTATATTAATAAACAAATAATGCATATTTATAAGAATACTCTTTTCTTGGACAGACTCCATGTTCTGGACAGTGAAAGGTTCTCTTGTGAAGGGAAAGCCCCGAGCACTAAGTCACTTTGGGTTTCCAGTCTGGGTTCAGGATGTAGATGCAGCAGTGCACATTGCCAAAACAGGACGAACTCTCTTCTTTATGCATGATATTTACTGGAGGTAAGACAATAAATGGATGGCACGTATCTGATAAAGATCAAGTAAATGTTTCCCCGAGTACAATTAAAACTTTTATTTGCATGCAGCTTCACACATTAGGGCATTTTACTTTGCTGAGCTTGATTATTTGATGTGATTTAACTCAACTGCTTTTGCTCCACAGGATTATATTATCATGCCTTGGGCCATTTCTTTGTTTTTCTTTTATGAGTTTGGGGAAGAAGAGATTTGATGAATGCATGTATGCGGGAACAGCAAATTAAATTAAATCAAATTATACTCTTGTTCTCCTATTTTAGCCACAGTAAAGTGCTGTTTAAAGACTGTGCGGTATTAATGCAGGGACAAATGACAAAGCAGATGTCAATATGGACTTTTAAAAAGTTGGGCTCAGATATGACTAAAGGATTCCCTCTGTCATTTGGACCTCACAGAGAGAGAGGAAAAGGTTCACAGTACACAAGTTACATGTTTAGTCCAATCTTTGAACGACAAACAGATGATTGTGAGTCATGAGTTCTAACAGGGTTACATTACTTGCAGTTACAACGAAAACAGAAAGGTTATGGATTTTGGTTACCCAAGGTTCATCAGCGAGGGCTTTCCTGGACTCAACAGCACAATAAATGCAGCTCTTCATAAAGATGGTGAGGAAAATATTACACCCTACCAAGTGCATACTTTTTGTTTGATTAAATCTTTCTTTATGCTGTAACTACTTAACATACATATCAACAGTCCTCAAACTAGGTGATAATCTTGTCTGATTGTTTAGGATGTAGGTTTGGCTGTGTTTTAATGGCTTTTGCAAGTTGCATTATCATTGGTAGCAAAGGAATGCTCATTTAAATTCAATACCAGCTCTGTGGAGTTCAGTCTGAGCAGAGCATGTGGTTCCCCACTTAGATTTAAATGCTATAATTTACCACTTAAAATGCTTGGTACGATATACTACAATTTTTCTGTATGATATATATGAGACACTCATTGTGTAAATCTAGAAAATCTAACATGAAAAAGTAGAAATGCAGTATGTAAATTATTTCATTTGCATATTAAAAATCTTATTTTGTTTTTGTTGTTTTTGTTTTTTTCTCATCTTAGGCTTCATCTACTTCTTTGTGGGACCACAAGTCTACAAATACGACTACACGCAGAAACTTGTTGTAGGAGTTGAGAAAGCAAATTCCTGGCTTGGTTGTTAAAATACTGTCTGAAATCCATGCAACAATGATATTAGCTAAATTAAAGAGGGCAAATGGAAACACATTGTACTTCTCAGTTTTTAGTGGAACTATATTTATCAGTAGTCATGTCATGTCAAAATAAAGAATTACAATTGAAAACTTGCTATTAGATTTTTGTAGTTTTTCTATGTCAAATCATATTTTCTAATCATGCCTTTGCTGATCATCTTATGAAGTTTGTTTGATTTATAGATGTAAAGAAATCAACATGAGGTATAGACGCATATAAACATGAGACAGTGTACATTAAGTTTTTCTCCTACCTGACTGAGCAAGAAAAAAATGCAGTTTTCTATGCTATGGAACAAACCGTACATATGATTATCGCCATTATAGACAGAAAAGCCAGACATATGTAGACATTTCATTGTGAGGTTATAACCACAAAACCTCTCGGGGCAAATATACCCAGCTTTAACAGCCATCACAGAGCACTTTGGGGCCATGTGATTGCAAAACAAGCTCAGGAATACTCCCATATAAAAAATGTGAAGCGTGGTTGAAATGTGCATTTAAAACATGGATTTGTTGTGGATACCCGTTTTGGGCTCTCTGATGTTGGTGGAAATCTTGTGGACTCTACCCATTGACAAAGATCAGCAGAGGCTTGAGGATGTGGAGCTGGCTGAGGTTTGTGAATGGATGAAAGGCTTACGAACTTTGTGTAAAAACCATATAAATTTGAATTGTTGTTTTAGTTAGAAATGTTGGAGATAATGTTTGTAGAACCTTTAATGTAAGACTGTGAAGACTGCAATGGCTTCAATTAAAATGGTAGAATTATGAGTGTATTTCGTTTATTTAAACTAGTAGTGAAGCGCTACAGTTCAGTGTGTGTGTTTTCTTGCTATTAAACATGATACATTCACTAAATTTTTATTTGAAGCATCCTGCATTTTTTTTTCCTTTCACTTGTTTTGAAGTTTATGTGTAAGCATTTGAAAAAAAAAAACTGAATTGAACCAACATCTGTGATACAGTTTCTTTTCCTTTTTAAACTCGCTTGCTCTCTCGTTTCAGCTGTTACAATAATAAGCAGGAGGGAATCTTCCTTATCTTTGCTAGACTGACATATTTAACATATTTTATTAGGTGTTTAAGAAAGAGAAATAATTAAATATGTTTTATATTACATGTAAAAATCTATTAATAAAATCCAGCTTTACATTTTACACACCTCGTCCTAAGCGTCCAGATCTCAACTCTTCATCTCAACAGGATTACCTCAAGAGGTTTTACAGTCTGAATCTGGGAGACCACAGGCCTCCAGTAAGAAGTGTGAGGTCTGCATCCACCATGGAGGAGAAGATCCGAGAAATGCAAAACTTCTTTGGTCTGAAGGAAACAGGAAATATGGACCCTCACACCCTGAATGTGATGAAGGAAGCAAGGTGTGGAGTTCCGGATGTGGACAACTTTGGCTTTTACCCTAATAGGCCTAAATGGAAGAACCACATCATCACATACACGTGAGATTGCATTTTCCATGTTTCCCATATTTCACAGTAATCTACCGTTATTTGTGAATATAGTCAAATGGCATAAAAGATTAAAAAGTCTGAGAGAAAATATTAACAAGTGTAGTGTACAATCTTACAATATTGTACTATTATTTTAAGTTAAGTTTATTAGTTACTTGACTTCCACATTTAGTTTGTTGAAGCATGTATAGAAAGGGAGTTTCTGAATAGTTCTGTACTGCAAAGACTCATTGGAACATGAAGTTTTCTTATTGGTTATTTTTCATTTTGCTGGGTTTAGACTTCCTTGTTGTGAATGTATGATGTGGTTTACAGCATAATTCCAGCAACTGTGTGGTGTAATAAGAGGTAAAACTGATATGTATGTAATAAGAATGAATAAGAATGTGAATTCTGGATATGAAGGTTTGAATATGCAGATCGAAGGCCCTGAATAGCACGAGGAATCTTCTTTTTATAGATATAAATCTAAAGCAAATAAACTGTTGATGGCAATAGCATGAAATATAGTAGGAACGATAAATAATGCTATAATAGCAACGATTAACACTATTATACTGTAGAGTTTACATTCCACTTTTGCAATTAGAAAATAATCTTGTAAATTGCTTAAAATTTCTTTTGACCACCAGAGGATATGCTAGTATTTGTAGCAACATATGTTGAAACATGTTGTTCCTGATGCCTCATGTTTTTCTCAATCGCTGGCATGCAGGATTGCCAGATACACTCCAGACATGAAGAAAGAGGATGTGGAAAAGTCTGTTCGTTCAGCCTTGAAGATGTGGAGCGATGCAACCCCGCTGAAGTTCATCAAACTCAACCATCGAAAAGCTGATATTGTCTTCTCTTTTTCTCGCAGAAGTAACTCTGAAAACGTGTCTAAGGACTTTTAATCGTGACTTTTAATTATGATTAATAAAAATCAGATCCTGTGTTTTCCTGTAGCTCATGGAGATTTCTTTCCCTTCGATGGACCTGGGGGCGTGTTGGCTCATGCCTTCATGCCAGGAATGGGGATGGGTGGAGATGTGCACTTTGATGAGGATGAAACATGGACGGCAGGGACTCAAGGTTTGTCAGTCAAAATATGAATGCAGTTTGAAAGCCCAAAGATGACACTAGGCAAAAATTGGGAATTAAATACATATTCTGAGCCAGACAGAAGCATTCCAGCAGTTTGTAATGAAATAATAACAACTATTTGCAACTGTGTTTCAGGTTACAGCCTGTTGAGTGTTGCAGCTCATGAACTTGGCCACTCACTTGGTTTGACTCACTCTAGAGACCCCTCTGCTATCATGTACCCCAATTACAGACATCAGAGCAATGCCAAGTACTCGCTCTCTAACGATGATGTGATGGGTATCCAAACTCTGTATGGTAAAGAACAAAACATAAAACATTTGAAATATTGAATTCATAAATCATTAAACACTGAAATAAAATTCTCAGAGCGTATTATATATTATATACAATGTTTTCTATGTGACTATTTCACAGGTAGGCCCAACAAAAAGTTGGAAACCCAGGTGGCTTCAAAAAAATGTGACCCAACGTTTCCCCAACTTTTTGATGCAGTTACACTGATTGAAAATGAGATTTGTTTCTTTAAAAACAGGTACAATGTATTGCTACTTAAAGGTGCACAACATCTTAAATAACCTCTCAATAGCAACTCACTTTTCTTGTTTCATTGCAGACACATGTGGATGAGAACAACAAGGACAACTTATTGGAATCATTTAACACAAGGCCACATTACCACGTATTTACCGAGCATCAGTTCTCAGATTGATGCCGCTTATGACATCCCAGCCAAAGGCGTGGCGTACATATTCACCGGTAGAGTAATGGGCAGCCTGCAAAGCATCACTTAGACCTTGTCAGCATGACAAGGCTTGATTTCCAGTAGCAGAACACGCAAATTACAGACTTGTGCAACATAAGTGTTGCAGTTCATGCAAGAGGCTCATTGAGTTTGGCAGGGATTGTGGTACGTTGCTGTTTTTCATAGTGTCCCTAAATCCAGTGACATGGCTGTGTTTTTCCAGGTCATAAGTACTGGGTGGTTGAACAGCTTAAGATGAAAAGTCGCGCTGGCTCCATTTACGAGTACGGCTTCTCTTCCAGAGTCAGGCGGGTTGATGCTGCTGTGCATGTCAGCGAATACGGGAAAACAATGTTCTTCGTAGGAGAGTTTTATTACAGGTAACTTTTTAAAGTGCCGCTTTACAGTTAAGAATTGTTCTCTGTTCTGATTGATATTTTAACATGATGAAAGTCACAGGACAACCTGACCTGTATATGGCTGATTATAGCTGGAGCTAAACTGACCCCAACCTCATTGTTATTCCTGCCATTAATCGATAAGTTGTTTGGTCTGTAAATATCACACACTAGCGTAAATCACTAAGCTTCTGTCTAGTCTAAATTGAACTACATTCAGTTTACTAAAATATAAGCAAAAAGAAGCAACAAATATAATCAGCATATAATAATCAACGGTTAATTCTGGCATTAAGTAAATGATGTTTTTGCTTTAAATGTCATTGACATTGCCACACTAAAAAATGTACTAATGTTTTTCATATATTTCAACTTTATATATTTGAATGATCAGGTATGATGAGCACAATAGGAGAATGGACCCTGGCTTCCCCAGACTCATTCGAAACGATTGGTCTGGAGTCCCCAGAAGGGTTGATGCTGCATTTAAGTTACAAGGTAAAAAAAAAAAAAAAAAAGGAAAAAAAACTCAGGAACTTCAAAATGTGGACCTTAGCAGCCAGCTGCAAATAGAGTACAACTGAAATAGAAGTTGTAATTTATTTTTTCATTTTTTTAAAACCGAGTTTAGGTTTAGGTAGTAGACGGGTGGAGTTTACCACACCAAACACACTTTGATTCTTAAAACACCATCTAGTTTCAGGAACGATATAAATTTGACAAGTAGAAATAGAATACTATTCAGAGGCACATGCCAGACCATATATGTGGAAATGACATGTGTGAAACATTTTAGATTTTAGATTTAAAAGGTTAAACTCCAACCATCCAACCATTTTCTTAACCATTTACCCAGCTCACATCCAATCACACTCCACTCACTCACACTTAAAGGATTTACAGGAGCCACGTCTCACGCTCTGTTTTACTTACTGTTTCATTCTCACTTAACATTTGGGTGGATTTTGGCACCGAAGCTCTGTATGCTTTAGAGGGCGGGGGGGGATCATAGTGTGGGCTGAGATACATCTGTTTTTGTATGATTTTCTTTTCACAGGTAGCATCTTTCTCCTCTGTGGAACAAAATCCTACCAGTATGACTTCAGACAAAAACAAGTGGTGAATGTAATTCCAGGAAAGTCTTGGCTGGGATGCTGAATTGAAACAGACGTGAGAAAGACAGCGAGAATTCCTCAGTTATAAAATTACAAAAAACCCTCTGAATATGTTAAGCTAAGATAACCATGTAGCGGTATAGTAGTTGTGCTACATTTTTTAAGCATATGTGTACTTGTATGTAAATTATACTAACTTATCTCTGATTATACTAATCCTGTGTCTCATTCGTTCCTGTTGTACATTGGTAGTAATACTTCTTAATCTGTGCATGAATATACTATGTACTTATACTGTGAGAGTCAAATGTAAGGTGTACATTTTTTTCAGTACTCTACACGTATTCAAACCCATGTACTCAAATCTTCTTTCAAAATGTACATCCAGTTAAATTACACCTTCAGGAAACCTCTCTAAAAAGCTTACCAGTGAACTCAGCAGGATGTTTGTTATTAAACTCACCTCAATAAAACAGAATTTTTGTGAAGTGCCCCACGACTATCATTGCAATGCTGGAATCTTACATATTCTTATTAGCAAAAACAATATGCAAATACCCCAAAAAGTGCAGGGGAAAGGCTTTTGTTCTAAATTGCTCTTAAGATTTTTTGCAAATGACAGCCTCTCAATGCACACTAGTGACACTCACACTACATTAAACATTATTGTATTAATTAAAACATTAAAAATATTGATTGAATGTTCAATATCAAAACACAAAAATGTTGGCAAATGCATCATTTTTTCTTGATAGAGTGGTTTATGCTTTAATTTGATGGTTTTGGAAACATAAGCCTCATTTAATTGGATGCTCCCGCCTGCAGCAGCTTTAGCACACTGTACCTATACCCCCCTCCCAAAAAATAGACAAACTAATGAGGAAATTTGGGATAAAACTATTTAAGCGTCTCTCTCAAAATTACAACATCAGCACAAAAACATGATCTAAACAACCTTTTTTAGCAGGAAGGTAAAACGGATCATAACAGCTCCTCCTGCTGTGTTATCAGAGGGGCCGCTCGACTCCTCTTTTTTCTCCACTGTGGTAGCTTTTCTTTTTTTACTTTGTGTTCTTATTGATGTTTTATCAGAACAATATGCACTTCAGGCTGTCGTGGCTGCCCTTTTAAGAGGATAATGGATAGCAGGCAGAAAAGAAGATGTCTCTGTTTTTGAATAGTACTGCTGGGCTGTCTCATGGAGTGTTTACCATAGTGCCTGAAGATTATCCTTGAAGGCAAAAACATTAGCAAAGTAATGTGATGTAAAAATGGGTTTTATACATTTATTATAAAATAAATCTGTCATGATCAGTCTGGCCGGACTCAAACGGAGGACTCAGGAAGGAAAGTTCAGTGAGTTTATTTACAGTGTTGGTGCAGATAGTGCTTTATGGTCTTTTTGAAGTGCTCAGTTCAAAAGTGCCAATATGTACAAAATCCAATAGAAGGAAGGTTCTGTGAATCCAGGTCCCTGATCCTCTGACCCCAACAGAAACTCCACCAAGTAACAAACACTGAAAGAAAGACGGTGGAGAAACACAGGACATTATAGTAATCATATAAAAAAATCATCTTCCATTTCTTCCTGTGTAAATTGTCTCAGCTCATTGTTGTGATGTCTTAAATGTGACGCGTCGCCTTTTTCATCTCACATCTTCACTCATTAATCAATATTTCAGTTACTTAGAATTTTATATTGTACAGAAATATGACGTGGACTGGCAAAGCTGACAAAGCCGTTGTAATGATAATACAGTGACTTCAGAGTCACTCAGTAAACTTCTACTTCACATCACTCTTATCGATGTGGCACACTTGAAAACAAACAGTAGCTGCCCAAACTACAAATGTTCCCACTGAATTTGAAACAGGTAAACAATGTTACAACAAACATGCAATCCTCTTCAAGGGCGGATGTTAGGAATTCATTTGGGAATGTATCTTTGTTATGGTGTTAGTGGGTTATAAAGGTGTTGATGCCAAATGATCCCCTGGTTTATGGGATTATCTTTGGTGACACACACCCTTTCATAGGACCCGGAGGCTCACACAACTTCCGTCAACAGGGTCACAGAGAGGACGCTAAGTTTCAGAATATGTGATACATATAGTATTGTATAGTCTTGAGTCCCCACTCTTTTCTTTATATTTTGCTAGGGTAAATAGGAAACTGGTACAGTGATTGATTAAAACATATATATTTCATATATTTTATTCTTTACAAAAAAGACAAGAAGCACAATTTCATTGTACGTGTACAATGAGAATAAAGGGCTATTCTATTTATTCTATTCTATAAGGCAAAAACAGGATGTACAATTCTACAATTTCTACAGCTTCTCTGCCCTCTTTAGGTATGACAACATGCAACTAGCAGGACTGATATGAGTTGCATATATCAGCATGCAGTGACACAGCAAAACATTGGGAAACAATTTAAGCTGCTGTGTTTTTTCTCGATTGTGTCTGAACTGTTACATTGTGAAACGCTCACATGCTTTGCTCAGATGCTGCAATTTCGGAAATAAGACCACACAGTTTGTAAAGCCACATAAGACGAGCTCCAATAACGGAAGAAGCCTGAGTCACCGTTTTGAACATGGATATGGATAAATTAAGGATTTTATAGTTTAGTGTTTCATGTGTTTTGGTTGAGCCACAGAGCAAGAACAGGCCTAAGAGGTGATCCAGTACAAATGATACAACTCACAAGAGTAGGAGACCTTCAAATGGTTAGTTACCAAAAATTCTCCTCTGAGTTTTAGTTTTACTGCCAAAAGTCGAAATATCTGTTACTAAAATTTCTGACACTCCAGTGCAGTGGAAGTGTGTACCGTCGATTTCATTTATGCACAACAGCAAATCCCCACTCTCAGTTTGTCCTCTGATAATTGTCAAAAATGTGTTCAATTTACAGTACGATCTATAAATTATGCAGACACACCACAAGGGAAATTTCATTCGCTTCCACTGAATCAGGCATGTCTAAGGAAAAAATATATCTATATTTCACTTTGGTTAGATATCCTTGGTGTATGTACCCTTTAATTTGTAGAAAATATTTGGTTGTCTTAAAGAGAAAAACTATTTAAAAAAAGATTAGAACTGCTTCTAAACAGATTTAAGAGAATGTTGACCATTTCATTGCAATTACGTTTTGATAAAAAACAGGCGGTAGTGCTGTTGTAATTTGGACAGGAAATGCTGATCATGTTAGATGTTCTAATTTCCAACAGTCAGGAATATTTAAACATGCAAGATGTCCTTGTAATTGGTGATTCATTTTCAGCACATTAAAACAATCACGCAAACATCAATTAAGTCTCGACCACACAAGCCATCATAAAGAATGGGTAAAGACATTATCTGAAAACTCAGCAGAGAGAAATACTGTTTGTGCACATCTTGATCTAAAACAGCTACTGGAGCTCAAGTATGGTAGCCATCTCTAAACACAGTACCTTAACATAGAAGGTCATGCCATTCAAATTACTATAAATTTGAGTTACAGCAAGATGTTTCCTTGTCAGACATGAGGTGTATCATTGTTACAGCCTTCTTGGTAATCTATGTCAAAAAGCACTCACCTCTGACTTTTTGATCACAATAAGCTGCTGCCCCCCAAGAAATCCACTAATTATATTTCATAGTGGTAAAGTTTTTTCTCACCTACTTCCTTGACATGCTGGGAAAAAAAGAAGCAGGATACATTTTGAAAAGGTACAACCATTTCCACACCTGACAACTATTTTGTAACTATTTGCAGCAGCGTAGTAGTTTTAAATCAGCATATATTAAATGCCTCACATTTTACCTAAGACACTACATTAAAAAAAAAAAAAAAGCACAGAAGCCAGAAAGAAAGATTTTCACAGTTGGAAATCAGTCATTTTCAAGATTTTCAAGATTCAACTAAACTAGATGATAAACGGGACAACAAAATGTAGCATGCCTAATGTTATTTAAAAAAGAAAAAAAGAAAAAAAAGATTAAAACCAGAATATCATCACTCATACTGCGAAACACTTAAGAGGTGCAGTACAGTAGTAACAGATAAGTAACAATTTAAATAAAATAATGGAAAAGGGTTTTTTTTTCAGTGTAACTTTCAGGATTTTATTTTGACGAGCCGTACATGTACACCGGATATCCGGTAAAGTGCTCATCCGTCTTTGGTTCCAATACAAGTCTTCTTGATCCACATATACCTTTACTATGCTACAGTAAAAGTGTGATATATATTCGCTTTTTTAACCAAACGTCAAATATGTTCACGAGTTAGACCACACTAGTGAAATATTTATTCTTTCAACTCTGGATTTGAACACGGAAACTGCTCCTAGCCAATGACTCCTAGCTAGTTGATGTTAGCATTTAGCCGCTCTTACTGTAAACAATGCAATGAGGACGGACGAAGGTTCCGGTTGACACGGAAACTAATAGTGAGGAGCACGAAGTGAAATAAGTGTTTGCTGCAGTTTCATTTGGGTAGGTTTTGCTTGTAGCTGGTCCTTACTGTACCTGATGTTATTGTGCAGAAGTCAGTGTTTGCCTTGCTTAAGGTCTGCAGTCAGGCACGCCTGTAGACTGAAACGCAGCTAAATATTTTCTCATTGACGTTTCTTCGCAGATGCTCATACCTGCCCTCCATGGAATCCCTCAACACGTTTGAATCTGAGATGGAGGCTGATGGACAGGGGAACTACTCTCTGTTTCCTGCTCTGGACAGCATTGCAACTCTGTCTGGCACCACTGAAACTCTGGAGAGGTGATTCAAAATGATCAGGTTTATAATACATCATTTTAAAATGTTACTGTCTACTGTAACTTCATTTATTTTGGATTAAGAAATATACTGCTAGTATTGACATAGATTATAGAATTTCAAGTGTTTTGAATACTCAAGCAGAGTAGAAACTCTCTATATACGAAACCAGTTCATTTACCACCATGTTCAGTTAGGGTACAGCTAAGAGCAGAAGAATCCTCAGATCACTGACAAATTCAAGGAAAGAGAAAGTGTGTCTTAGTAAGGTCTTA